CTAGACAGAATGACGACAGAGGAAGCAAGTTAAATAAAAGCTTGTAATAAAAAGCGAGGAGTTCGACTTTATTACGAGGGTGGGGGGGGGGGGGGGGGGTTCAGAACGTGTCACGATTGCTAGCCCATAATTATTTTTTACAGACAGTTGTTCATTTTACAAAATATATTATGTGTTGAGCAATCTTTGAAAATCTAAATTTTAAAGAAACAATATATATATATATATATATATATATATATATATATATATATATATATATATATATATATATATATATATATATATATATATATATATATATATATATATATATATATATATATATATATATATATATATATATATATTAAACTGTAATTTCGAGGCGTTGATGTCTTGTGCCATATTTATGACCTAAACGCTATCATATATCTTATTTATTGATCAGCTGACATAAAAGATTTGAAAATTTGAATACTAGTAAAGGTAAAGAGAATTTCCCCTGCCAAACCGTACGTTGTATTGGACAAGTGAAGTAGAATACACCTGTTTCTGTGAATTTGCTATATAAAGGGATAGTGTGGTCAGCACTATGCACAGCTGCCTTTACTTTTCCTAACGCCATTTAGATACCCATCAGAGCTGCGTGGACTCAGTGACGGTCTACTGACTTGAACCCAGATTCAAACTTGAGACTTTCGGGCTAGTGGGCTAGTAGTCTAGCTCTCTACCGCTAGGCCACCCATAACGCGAAAACTAGTAAACTCAATATTTAATCGTCTTTAAATGTTTACACTCTAGTCAAGTATGTATATGTGTTTTTATCACAGATGATCTGATGTTTGAAGCAAACTCAATCTATCCAAAAGAATTACTTGCCAGAAATTCCTGTTTAACTACCGACACAATTAATGCAACGTTTCAAAAGATCAATATGCTCTCGATCAGAATTGCACTAAAATATAAAGGTAAGCTAACCTAAACTAACCCACTCTAAACAATTCTGACCTTACCTGAACTGTCCTTATATATATATATATATATATATATATATATATATATATATATATATATATATATATATATATATATATGTGTGTGTGTGTGTGTGTGTATATATATATATATATATATATATATATATATATATATATATATATATATATATATATATATATATATATGTATGTATGTATGTGTGTGTGTGTTTGTTTGCATGTTTGTTTGTTTGTTTTAATTAAATAATTAATTAATTTGTGTTGGATCTAATTTCAGTTCCTGAGCTAAATATGTCTCTTTTATATACAACAATAAATGGTAGTATGTTTTTGTGTAACAAACTAAAATTATTCTGGGTCGATAATACCACGTTTGAGATTGAATGTACCAGAGAAGAAATCATAAAGGCGTTCAAAGTTTTATTCAGTGTACCTGTTATGGTCTGTCGAGTAAGGGTGAATGGTGGTAAGTATAGTTTACATTGAATTATTGTTTTATTTAGTGATCTTCATGTTGAATTAAAATGCGTTATTATATCTCTACCTCCAATTTGGTCAGTTTTTTACTTTCTCGTATATGGTGTCTATGGGAAGAATTGAAATCGTGCAAAAATTCGAAATTGAAAGTTTCACCACCCCCCCCCCCCCCCCTGAGCCGGAAAAGCTTAGTTTTGTAATTTCGTCTCGATGAATGTGTGTCTGTTTTTCTGTAAATATGATCGATAGCTTGAGTTCTGTTATAGCTAGGTTTACAAATTCGTAATTCTGTATCAACTTTTAATTGATTTCCGGTAACAGGAAAAGACACTTATTCTACTTTCGGTTTCTCAAAAGCCTATAATACTGTTTTATTTAGGTAGACGAAATTTTACGTATAAGTAAAAGACCTAATCCTTTAGTTTTTGTCAAATTTTGTGTGATTTCCATTGACCGGAAGTAGTACTTTAAGTTCTTTCCGATTTCTCAATTAAACGCATTCGAATTTATTTTAAACTTGATTCCTCTAACTATCGTGCGTCATGGTCGGAAACATGCGAGCGAAACTTCGAACACTTCTACGGGACCTATTTATTTAAAACATTTCACGTAGGTCAAGAATAAAAAACTGTTTATCATGACGATTAATCAAGGTTTTCTTTATAAAGCACTAATGTTGCACTATTTTACATTCTATTCAAGTATTTAAAAAGCGATGAAAAAAACATGTCTGTATCCCGTTTGCACAGGAGTTGCCATCCCCATTAATGTTATCTAAGAGTTTTCGAGAAAGTTTAGGGGAGATCACTCCCGCTCTATTTTATAAATAATTGCATATTATTTTCATATTCAAACAGGTAGAAATGTTTTAAAAGAATCCAAAGTTTTTATCTCTTCAAATTCAATGAACATCCCGGCTGTTAATTACATGAAAGTATTAGATGGACACGTAGACGACGATAACTGTTTGTCGATATATCAGTCTGGTCGACAAATAATCTGGAGATCAATATTTAATTGGCCAAGAATAATTAAGCGAATTCTGATATATACCAGTGGTAAGAGTATAAGATAAATTTAAATTTAAAATTTATATTTATTTAATTTTTTCATCTAAATGATATTTTGTCTTTCTAATTTTCGAAGTATAAACTGAAATAAAAATACGAAAAAATACGTGAGTATTTGTATTAATTAACTAGCATACCCGTCCCCGCGCGTTGCCGCGGGAATAGAAGAAAGTCTGTCGAAATATATAAGAAGGGTTTCAACAATGCGTTACCAATCATATATTCTTAGGTGCCTGACCTTGTTTCGTAAATGTGAGTTATTTTAATATAAAATTACACAAATCAACAGGATTTTTTCTTTAACACGTAGAAAAAAAAGTATTTGACGTGTTATAAACATCAGTGTGACTGCTGCAATTTGTTGCATTACTAATGGTGTATTTTTAGAAGCTCAATCTTCATTTATGATTGGATCGTCTAAAAAGAGATGCTAATTGCATCATTCGCAAAGTTACGAAACTCTTTGGACTTTTTACGGATAAAAGTAGGTACTCCAAATGGATTTTTCAAATCAGTCACACAACAATTAAAAGGAAACAACCCAGTTAATAATCTTACCTTGGTTAATTTTTCTGATTATTGAAAACAATATATTACAGGGCCCTCAGTGGCCCATGTAAGCCTTTGGGGGCCGAAACTGAAATTTATGTTTGCAGCTAAATTGCACCATACTTATATATATTTTTATTATTTTTTCATCTAAATGAAATTTGGCCTTTCCAGTTTTCAAAGTATAAGAGTAGCCTATACATTGAAAATGTATATTTGTTTAATTTTTTCATCTAAATCAGGGGTCTCCAAACTACGGCCCGCGGGCCGGATGCGGCCCGCGAGGTCCTCTCATCCGGCCCGCGGAGATCGTTTTGTCCACGGAAAAAATAATCTTTGAGGTAACATTCAAAAAAAAATTGAAAATGTAGCATTGGGTGTAATTACCATTGAAGCAAATGTGGCCAGCAAATGACCTCCTTAGAGACTACTTTAAATATGTGTGGGGGGGGGGGGGGTTATAAGTATTTGCCTAAGGGAGACTTTGCTAGTATTACAACTTTTGCATCACAGTTTCTTTTAAGAGATGTTCTTCGGGTGGGGGGTTGGCTCCGACACCCCGAAGAGATGCCGAAGAGATGCCTGGAAGAAACTCCGGCTCCCGAACTTATATTTGATAGCTAATGCGGCCCTCGGGCTGAAAAGTTTGGAGACCCCTGCTAAATGATATTTCGCCTTTCCAGTTTTCTAAGTATAAGAGTATAAGATACATTTAAAAATCAAATTTATCTTTATTTAAATTTTACATCTAAATGATATTTTACCTTTCCAGTTTTCTAAGTATAAACTGAAAAAAAAAACTTGGGTATTTAAATTTATTATTGAAAGAGAACTGTTTGAAATACAAACTTTGCAAAGCTGCACTTACAATGAAAGTTGTATATAATCATCGAAATAAAGTTGTTTTTTTTTAAATTATTTTTAAACTGTTCAGTGCTAGAAGCTAGAAAACGAAGATTGCAACCGTGCCTTAAACAATTCACATATTTATGTAAATTTACATTTAAGTAGCGTTGAGGTAAATTTCCACATTTAAAAAAAAAGTATTGATCTATTCAATGCTAATACTTAATTAAGTAAACTGATTTATGACGGCTTTTTGTTAGCATATTTTTCTTTTTAGTTATTTAGTTACGAAACAATATTATGTGAGTTACGTTTCGGATCCCCGCCGATTAACATTTATTAAAATCTTAGATGTCTTTAAATGCCTACATGTCGCTTCTGATTAAAATTTCCGTAATAATGTTCTTATTACAAAAATGTAATTTTTTAATACTTATTTATTGTTCTACTAGAAACCTCGACGCCACAGATGGAACATTTTAAAGTTGAACTCTACGATTATAACGATTTGATAGCTTTTACAAAAGAAATTGACAACTTTTCTGTCCTTCACACAATCTACGTTGAAAATAGTCGAAAGATCATGAAGTTAACCTTAAGTACCAATGATTCGCTTTCGCTATGTGAAATACAAGCGTTTGGAGGTAGGTTAAATAAAATTTTACATTTTTTGTACAATCTTGCATATTATACATATTAGCATATTCATAGTCTATATATGCCACATATATATATATATATATATATATATATATATATATATATATATATATATATATATATATATATATATATATATATATATATATATATATATATATATATATATATATATATATATATACTAGCGTACCCGTCCTCCGCGCGTTGCCGTGGGGATAGAAGAAAGTTTGACGAAATGTATTAGAAGGATTTCAACAACGCGTTACCAATCATATGTTCTAAGACGTGTGACGGTCTATTCTAAAAGTGAGTTATTTAAATGTAAACAATGCCTGCGCTTGGATCATAAATATCGGGACACGGGTTTACCTACACTGCCGCATGAAAACATTGAGTGTACATTAATCACTCACCGAAATAATATGGTAGAACAAACTTCGGTGACCGCCCACGTGTCAGAGACGTAGTAGGGCGCTCTCAGGGCCCCCACCCTACGATTACACTACCGCATAGGCGCCGCGTACGCCCCCTGGCTCCTTAAAACTAACAGGCGCCATCGAGCCAAATAGCATTCTGTTAATAATGATGCTAAAGTGACACAAATGAACAGGTTTTTTTCTTTAACACGTAAAAAATTATTAGACGTGTTTTAAATATCAGTGTGACTGATGCAATATGCTAGCGTTACTAATGGTCTATTATTAGATGCTCGATCTCAATTTCTGACTGGATTGTCTAATAATAAATGCTTATTGCATCATTCGCAAAGTGACGAAACTCTACAGTAGCCTCCTCGTATTCAAAAAGTTATTTTTTTCATCTTTCGCAAGGTGACGAAACTGTACAGAAGGATTTCCTCGCGTTACAAAGTTATTTTTAGAAGCCTGTTGTAGTTTTACCGCTGAATATAGTAGTACCCCTTACTCGCTATGCAAGACGCTCGATATTCGAATGCCAAGTGCTAACATATTTCGCAGAAATATTCTCGGGATTTTTCTCATCTACTCCCTAAAGTTTCATTACACTCGGATGAACCGCATCCGAGTTTTATTTTTAATATACAGTGTAGTGAGAAAAAAATTGCTCCGCCCTTGCAATATTAAACAATATTTTTTTGCAGATCCCTACCTTTGAGTGATCTAATCATCTCCCCAAAGTTTCATGGTACACGGATGAACGGTGTGAAACCGAAATTTTATAAAACGTAAATAGAGAAAAATCGCAGCCTCCCGTGGCGCCGCCATTGCGAAATTAAAAAGGATTTTTTACAGAACCCTTCCCTAAATTGTTCTAATCAACTCCCCCAAAGTCTCATGGCTATCGGATACCGGTGTCACACCAAAATCGACTTTTATTTTTATATACCGTATATAGAGAAAAATCGCTTCATCACGTGGCGCCGCCCTTGCGAAATTAAAAATGATTTTTTACAGAACCCTTCCCTAGAGTTTTATAATGAACTCCCCAAAGTTGCATGCCTATCGGATGAACGGTGTCACTGCAATTCAATTTTATTACTTTTATATACCATATATAGAGGAAAATCGCACCCTGCCGTGGTGCCGCCCTTGCTAAATTATTTTTGTTTTGCAGAACCCTTCCCTGGACTGTTATAATGAACTCCCCAGAGTCTCATGACTATCGGATGAACTATGTCAAACCAAAATCGACTTTTATTTTTATATACCGTATATAGAGAAAAAACAAATTGCGCCCTGCCGGGGCGCCATCCCGGCGAATTTGAAATTTTCTTTTCGCAGAAACCTCCCCATGAATATTCTCAACAACTTCCCAAAGTTTCATGCCTATCGGATGAACGGTGTCACTGTAATTAACTTTTATTATTTTTATATACCATATATAGAGGAAAATCGCACCCTTCTGTGGCGCCGCCCTTGCGAAACTAAAAATTATTTTTTTACAGAACCCTTCCTTAGAGTGTGTTATGAACTCCCCAAAGTCTTATGGCTAGCAGATGAACGATGTCAAACCAAAATCGACTTTTTATTTTCATATACCGTATATATAGAAAAACAAATCGCGCCCTGCCGGGGCGCCACCCCTGCGAATTTGAATTTTTTTTTTTTCGCAGAAACCTCCCTAGGAATATTCTCAACAACTTCCCAAAGTTTCACGGCGATGTGATGAGAGGTGTAGTAATGCATAAAGGACTTCTTCTTCTTCTTCGTTCTTAATTTTTGAATATGGTGGAGGATTCAGACAACAAGTCCAACTTCGTGGACAAACCGGACTGTGGTCTCCAGTTTGTCAGGTGTCCCATATAATTTTTCCCTAAGTGGGGTGGGCTGGGGCCAGTGACTGACTCTTGCCTGGCTATACAGAGTACATTCCTGGAGTACGTGCTCCGTGTTTTCCGGGGCCTTGCCACAAGGGCACATTTCGCTACACCCAACCTTCAGTTTTCTGTGCATGTGTTGATTTAGTCTGTTGTGGCCTGTTCTAAGTCGAAAGATTATGTATTGTTGTTTTCGTGTTAAATTGTAATAGCCGTCGTCTTTAATGTAGTGAGGGTGTGTGACAGACCACATTTGCGTTTGTTTGTTTTTTATTATTCTTTTTATTTCTTTTGGGTGTAGCGAAATTTCCGGTTGTGGTTTCTTTCCCCCAATTTTAGCCAGCTGGTCTGCGATCTCGTTACCCTGGATCTGGCAGTGGCCCGGGATCCACTGCAGCACAATTCTGCTGCAGGTATTTTTTAGCCTCTATAGTGCTGTCATAAGTGTTTGAATATAGGACTCTGGATTTTGTAGGGATTGCGCATAAAGGACAAACACACACACAATCACACAGACACACAGACATACATTGCTTTATATATATATATATATATATATATATATATATATATATATATATATATATATATATATATATATATATATATATATATATATATATATTTATATTTATATTTATATTTATATTTATATTTATATTTATATTTATATTTATATTTATATTTATATTTATATTTATATTTATATTTATATTTATATTTATATTTATATTTATATTTATATTTATATTTATATTTATATTTATATTTATATTTATATTTATATTTATATTTATATATATATATATATATATATATTATATTATATATATATATATATATATATATATATATATATATATATATATATATATATATATATATATATATATATATATATATGATTGTGTGTGCGTGCGCGTGCATGCGTGCGTGCTAATTTGTAAAATAAAATGGAATAAACTCCACACACAAATTTTATCATATAAATTCCTAAATGTATTGGATTACCGGAATATAAATAGACCAAAATCATTTCGCGACTGTTTTTGAAATAATGTAAGTGTTGTCCTTAAAATTCATTAAATTTCAGAGTGTTCGAGAAGGAGATTCGGTTTGACATGTGATTACGTGTGTAGTATGACGTGTGTTGAACAGGATTGTCAGATTACTGGCCCCTGCAAGGAGTGTGTTGAAAACAGACGAGGGGATTACTGTATGGAAAGTAAGAGCAATTCCTATACGAGTTTGTGAAACTTCACTTGAGCCAATTTCTCCATATAAACTCTATCATTTAAAAAAAAAGTATTCTTCAGTACTGTTAACAATTTATATATGTTCAATAAATTAGCTTTTACGAAATTTCTACAGTAAATTTTCGCTGTCACGGTCAGTGTAAAAATCAATAACACAACGTGTCGTAAATATTTTTGTTAGGTTTCAATAGCCACGAGCAATTGTCATAATTTTATGGACTCCCCTCCCCCCCCCCCCCCCAAAAAAAATCGTCTTCGCCCCGCCCCCCCCCCCAAACAAAAAAGGATTTATACAGAAAATATATACTTTTACTAGTGTCACACCCTCCCCGAAAATTGCAAGTAACCTTTCCTTCCCCCCCCCACCCTCTTCGGAGAAAAAGTCTGGAAAAAACACAGCTTTACTTTCCCGAACGTGAGTTAGCTACCAATCAGAGCTGGGTGTGGACTCAAGGACGTTCCACTAACCTTAATTCGGATTCGAACACCATTTTTAACTAACTAGAGTTGGTAGCTCTACCTCTAGGCCACGTCGTCTCATGCCTATACCTGAGCCAATAGTTAAACATAAACATGCAGAATACACACATACGAATATATATCTAATATATAAAGCTCAATTCTGTATGTAAAAATACATATGTTTGTCGTTGACATACTTCAATGGATTAAAGTGTTAGACTACTATCGTGCGCATTTGTCTAAATTTATGAGTTAAAAAATTATTATTGAAAGTGTTGGGAAATAATTTTCATTTTTCAAACTGATAATAATAATTTTCGGCATGTTCATATATATATATATATACGTATATATATATATACGTATATATATATATATATATATATATATATATATATATATATATATATATATATATATATATATATATATATATATATGTGTGTGTGTGTGTATGTGTGTGTGTACGTATGTTTTTTTTTTATTTATATAAAAGAGACGTAACTGAACACGTATAGATTTATATGTATTTAAAAATAATATAACTTTTAATATCATTTTCACAGCTATACAAAGCCGCATCGCTTTTAATTCATCAAATCTAACTAAAGTGGAAAACACCCGCTTTATCCCACAGCAAGAAGACAAGCTGAGCACCATAGAGATACTTATGATGTTCCTTGCGGCTGTTGGTTTCGTTCTTATAATAGCTAAACTTTGCTCTAATAACAGGTAATTTTATCAAGATAAGTAAGCCGGCTTAAAACTATGTAAATATGGGTAAATTTAGGATATAGTGTCAACTAATAATTAAAAAATACTAATAATAATATTTTACTCTTCTCCAGAAATGTACCCGTAAACGAAACTGAGCATTCTAAAAATAAACATTAGCAAAGTAAGTATCGAACGTAAATGTTGTAAGAAAACTATAAGCCATAAACAGCATGTTAACATCTATATTTGTAGCTGTTTCTCCTCATAACAGTGTTAATACTTTTATCTAATACATTTAATTTGCTTCTATTTAGCCCTTTTTGAAGTAAAAGTCTTTTTGCACGATATTTAGCGATATTCAGGTCAGGTTAACCAGTGTTACTTCCAGAATTTGTTCTCCGGGATGGGGGGGGGGGGGGGGGAGAGAGAGACTTGATATTCTCGGGGGGGGGGGGCACAGGTAAAAGTATGTTTTTTATATAAATTCCAATTCGTTCGGAGGGGGGGGGGGGTCTTAACCCATCCCCTCCGCTAATTCATATGAAATGGTATATGATTTTTTTCTCATTGTTACCTGATTATAAGTGAAGTAATTTCCATTCATCCGTGTTATAATCCCATAATTCCGCCATAAGCAGTATTAAATGTAGGCCTATATATTTTTGTGTCCGTTGTCATAAAAAAAGCATAAATGAATGAATTTTTATTCACCTGTATGGTAATTCCATATGGTTCCATCTGTTGCAGTTGAATGTTGTTTTTCGTCAGTTCATGGTGTTTTTTTGTGTAGTTGTAAAGTTCCATTTTACAGCAAAAAAAAAGGCAAATGAAGGGAAAGTGTGGTCAGCACTATACCCAGCCGCCTTATGTTTTCCTAACGTGAGTTAGCTACCCATCAGAGCTGGGTTGACCCAGGGAGGGACATTAATCCGGATTCGAACTCGAGACCTTCTATTTCTACTAAGGAAAACAAAAAAAAGCATTTTTCTTCTGTACATTTTGCAATTTAATTTTTTTGCCTTGGTGTCACCCCCTAAATGGTGTCACCCGGTGCGTATCCCCAACACCCGCCCTCCCTACACCTTTGCTATATATGGTAAGCGGTGGATAGTACTAAAGCGACAATTTTGAAATAAACTGCCTTTCTTTATTCCAAAATATGCACTTTTATTGTTACTTCTTACTACCAGTAAAATAACAACCTATATTTCGAATAGTCGAGTGTCTTAAAATCACTTTCATACCGTGTCTACTGTAAAACCAGTGTTTTTTTCAAGACTTTTTTATCCAGGGGGGGGGGGTATTTGATATTTTCGGGGGGCGGTCAACTTTTTCCGGGGGACGGGGCGGACACTGGTAAAGTATATTTTTTCTATATCAATTCCATTTCGTTTGAGGAGGCGGTAGACTTCCCCCCCCCCCCCGAAGAAATGCCTGGAAGAAACTCTGGTCTTAACTTTGAGACTCAGATCCAACTGGAACAAGATTTCACTGTTAGGCACAGCAACATTTTAATATAAATATTTTGGTACAACAATTTCTCGTTTGTAAAATGAAGTTAAATTATAATTTTAGACATTACGCCCGGAAGGTTGAGTTCTAATACAGCCATGTGAATAGAACGGTGGGCTGTACAATTATTTCCAATGAATTTGGCTCTGACAACCAGGACTGGGAGGATCTAGAGAGAAGATCAATGGAAGATCAATGGAATCAAGGAAGGACAAACATTGAACGAGTCTGTGATTGGCAATCTTTGTTTTAAAGCTTCCGCCATTGTTATCCGTGTAATGTTTTATTAATCTCATGGTGTCTGGTCACTTGATTCCTAGATAATTAATCCTCGTATTGTAATCCCCTAGTTATTGAATCCCTATGTATTTAATCCGCAGACACTTCAACCTTTATGAAGCATTATAGAATGCTTCTGTCAAAGGGTTAGGGTCAGTGGCGTAGCGAGGTCGGGTGGCACCCGATGCGGCACTTAATGGTGTCACCCCCCACAGGGGCGTAGCGACTCTTCCCGGGGACAAACTTTCAATTTTCGATTTGCACCCCCCCCCCCTCCTCGAACTTTCGATTTGCAACCCCCCCCCCCTCAAATTTTTCTGTATATATTTTACTATTTTTTGCCATGGTGTCATCCCCCCTAAGTGGTGTCACCCGGTGCGGTCCGCACCCCCTCCCCCCTTCGCTACGCCTCTGGTTAGGGTTAAGGTTAATGTTAGGATTTAAATATTATTAATGTATTAAAATATTTATTTTGATTGATTCAATTATTGTGATGTTTAAATGAAAATAATTATTTGAATTTTAAATGAATTTTTCGCTGAATTCATAATTTTTATAGACTTTTATTTTTAGGATTAAGTGTCTTGGCTTTGAATCTAAGGGTATAATGTAGAGGATCAAATGTCTGGAGTTAAGGGAATCCAATTATATATAGTATTTAATGAATTTAAATGTCTTAAAATATTTAGATTAAGTATTAATAATATTACAAAAGAATTAAAAAATTATATGTAATCATTGAGTTTTGTTATTTAATTGTATTTATTTAATGTGCTTAGTTTTTACATACACCATTTAACAGAATATAAATATAAAAGCTTTATAAGACCTAACAATCGATAGAGCATGCAAGGGAAGCGACCTTTCCCTTTTGACCTGTGGCCAGCACTATGCTTAATCGCCTTTACTTTCCCTAACGTGAGTCAGGTACCCATCAAAGCTAAGTGGACTACGTTCTACGTGTTTGAACCCGGGATTCAAACTCAACATTTTCGGGATGGCAGTCGTATGCTCTACAATCCGACCACGCTGTGCGCTGAAAATAAAATAGTAGTTCAGTCAATTCTTGTGGATGTTGTGACTACGATATCCTTGCTATTTGTCGAGTAAACAATGAAGCAGACAAAGAGTACTGGAGGAGAATCCATCATCATCATCATCATCATCATCATTTACCGTTCGGGGCAGATGAAGTAGAGTTCATCTGCTTCAGAGACAGGAATATGAAGGGATAGTTTGGTCATCACTATGCACAGTCGCTTTTATTTCCCTGGGTGGACTCAGGGACGTTCTACTGATTTGAACCCGGATTCGAGACTCTCGGGTCAGCACTCGAGCGCTCTACCGTTACGTCACGCCGTCCCATGGAGGAGAATTACTTTGCAAACTTTTCTTCGTTCTTTATTTTTTTCAAAAAGTTTGAAGGGATTCCCTCCAACACAATTAAGTATACTTGTCAACTGGTTATACGCCATTGAGGCCTTTGACTCCGATTTCAGCTTGCTTTTCTTTTTGGGTTTGCTTCCATAACCAATAACAAACTACAAGGCAGCATTTGTTTGATTTTGGAGTTGTTTCATCTGCCCGAGGGTTCGTACTCGAGACTTATCGGTTTAGCAATCATATGCTTTACCGACTCGACCACGCCGAGAGCATTACGGACTCGATCACGCCGGCCCCTCTTACGGTACTAATATGCTAAACAATTAGTCAGATGCTAAATTTCCAGTTCCACCTTGGCCGATTTCAGGTTTTGGCCGTAAAATACGTTTGAAGGGGGGGGGGGGGGGGGGGAGTCACAGGAAAAAAGTCAAAGAAACAAAGTCACTGATGTGTATTTGCATTAAAGTTGTTAACACTTTTAAGATTTAGAAAGTGCAAATCAACATTCGATTAATTAAATGTAATGTACAAATTTTAGAGATATGTGCGTAGGTTGTATTTGCATGCTAACACACTAATAATATTTAGTCTGAAGTATTTAGGTTTTAATTGCGTTATAGAATAGAATAAAGTAGAGTGTTCCAACCCACTAAGTTTTCAATATTTTCATCTTGTTTTTAAAACAGCGGTCATCCATATATGACGTCACGCTTTTTTGACGATTTTTACCTCCTCCCTTCCCTCCGTCACACGTCGTCACAAAAACCAGAACCCCCCCTAAAATGACGTCACACCTCAGCCTACAACCCCCCTCAAAATGGCAGTTGAATTTTTTTTAAACATCGATATTTTTCTAAAATCTTGTCTGAACTCTGTCAAAATAGAGTATTTCATCAATTCCTATTACAATTTATTAAAACAGTCTTCTAAACCGCGGAATAACGTCTAAAATTCGTTTTCTAGCATTGCTTTATTATAATGCAAAAATGTGACGTCGCACCATCTGACCCCCCCCCCCTCATCACACACCGTCACAAAATTACGGACCCCCCCCCCCCCTCCCCGCTACGAGTGTGACGTCATTTATGGACGACCGCATACAAACTTAGAAGAATGTGAAATGGTTGAAAGATATAGATCTAGTTCATATGATTTGTAGTCCTCAACTCCTCGCAACAATAATTCAGCCAACTTTACTGCCCCGATTTATCGTCCTCATTACACCAGAAAGCATCGGATCGAGCAAAAAAGCCGACACAGTACAAGGGCTCTCGCTGAAGCAAAACGTAAACAATACACAATGTGGACAGACTAAGCCGAGAGACGAAAGCCCTACGGGAAAAATAAACAGGGAGTGATCTCCCCTAAACTTTCTCGAATATTCTTATATAACTTGGAATATAGACATGATTTTTAATTACTTAATTAAACTTTTAAAAATAGAATAGAATCTCATAGAAAAAAGAATTGCGCATCAAGCGAACGCCAAACTAAAATGTGCATAATAGTGCGCAATATTATTAGTACTTTATAAATTTACATGCGTTTTTTGAGAAATCGGAAATAGCGTAAATTAGTACTTCCTGTCAACGGAAATTACTCAAAATTTGACTTGTGAAATTTCATTTATCTATCTGAAATCGTACTCATGTTAAAGGCTTTTGAAAAATTCAAAGTAGAAAAAGTACCACTTCCGGTTATCGGAAATTGCTCAAAAGTTGATATGGATCTACGATTTTGATAAAATACTTATGTATGAAATTTCATCAACCTAGCTGTAACGGTACACAAGTTATTGTGTTTACACACAGACAGACACACAGACACACAGACATATGGACAGAATTGCAAAGTCCAGTTTTTACGACTCAATAACGCATAAAACGCCAAAACGTTTATATATATTTGTATTTATAATTTTTGCCTGATTAAAATAAGTCCTCTATACTCCGGATGTGACGAAGGACTGGGGAGTAAAACGGTGAAAACTGTCAAAATTTCATGTTATTTTTGTGCACGATTACAATACTTTCTCTATATACGAGAAAGTAAAAACTTTTACAAATATTCACAATCGTTGCAAGACGTAACAGCACTATCTGATCATCACCGTCGGCTGTCCTTCAAGTATGACAATGATCATTAGCAGTATAAATTGTTCGGATGAAGGAAATTATCAATGTATTGTTCATGATTTATTTTCAACGGGGAGTAATTTTAACCAAACGCAAGCTCTTTACATCAAAGGTAACAAATAATTTTACAAAGATATATATATATATATATATATATATATATATATATATATATATATATATATATATATATATATATATATATATATATATATATATATATATATATATATATATATATATATATCACATAACATATTTTGGTCCTAGATTTACTAACTATATTGTAACCTACAACCAAATGTTCTGAACCTCTTGCAATTATTCTAAAAGTCTTTCTAATATTTTTCTTATAACTATCATTTATTTAAAAGATAACTTATTTTATCATTGTGACTGCTTTTAAAAAATAATTTAAATTTTAGCTTCACAGCCGTCTGGACGTACCCAAAATACGACGACCGGCAGCAGTATGGTAAATGCGCCAAGGCGCATGTACGAAAACGTGAATGGCAGCAAATCTCCGAGCGTCATGACCATAGTGAACTATGTAATCTTAGCAGGAAACTCTGGTAGCGCTAACCATTGTGTATGTGGAGGTGGACGACACAGCCGAGGAAACGCCCGTCTACGAAGGAACGTTTTTTATCACCCAAAACTCTTCTGTTCTAACAGAGTAGCTTTTACAACTCTTTTACACACACACACACACACACACACACATATATATATATATATATGTATATATATATATATATATATATATATATATATATATATATATATATATATATATATATATATCCACGTGTGTGTGTTTTGGGTGTTTGTGTATGTATGTATGTATGCATTGATAGTTTTAAAAAAAATAATTGCACTATAACACAAAAGGATTTTATCATTGAATTTTTCATATACTCTCCATTTGATTATTACCTTTGTGTGTAGCTGAATTTGGTGTTGCTGTTTACAAAAAAAAAAATAAAAAAAAAAATAAATAAAGGTCTGCATATCATCTCTTCCCATCAACAACGGCTGCTGTAAAAATTGATCTGCTCCGAATTTCTCACCCCCACCCCCTCTGAAGAGATGCCTGGAAGAAACTCAGAACTGGCTGGACACAGGGACGTCCTATTGTCACAAGTCCGATATTCGACCTCGGAGTAGGCTACTTACACACACACACACACATATATATATATATATATATATATATATATATATATATATATATATATATATATATATATATGTATATATGTATATATACATTTACACAAAAATATATAGTAAAAAAAGTATTCAGTTGTATATATATAATATATATATATACAGGGGCGTAGCGAGGAGGGGGTGCGGGGGGTGTAGACCGCACCGGGTTACACCATTTAGGGGGTGACACCAAGGCAAAAAATAGCAAATTATATAGAGTAACACTTGAAAAGTTTGAGGGAGGGGGGTATGCAAATCGAAAACATGAGGGGGGTGCAAATCGAAAATTTGAAAGTTTGTCCCCGGGAAGGGTCGCTACGCCTCTAGGGGTGTCACCATTAAGTGCCGCACCGGGTGACACCCGACCTCACTATGCCACTGTATATATATATATATATATATATATATATATATATATATATATATATATATATATATATATATATATATATATATAAAGCTCAATTTTGTATGTAAAAATAAATATGTTTGTCGTTGACATACTTCCATGGATTAAAGTGTTAGACTATTATTGTGCGCATTTGTCTAAATTTATGAGTTAAAAAATTACTATTGAAGGTGTTGGGAAACAATTTTCATTTTTCAAACTGATAGTAATAATTGTCGGCATGTTTCTTAAACACAAGTTTTAAAAAAATATAATCTTTTACAAAAATTCTAATTATGTCTTTATTTAGTCCTATAGCACTTACTTCCCTTTGATAAATTAGGAAAACAAAATTACTTCCCTTTATAAAACCATTGCATTAGTGGAAAAGAATTTACTTTTTATTACTTTGTTTTGGTGTTGGGAAAAAAATAATTACATAATTAGCGGGGATTGATCAAGTGCAAATGTTGTAGGTATTTTACGGATAAGCTTGGAGTATTAAAATTGTTCATTAAATTGAAACAGGCGCGTTCGTTTAAGTGAGTGCAAAAGACTATGAATAAGTTGGGGTACTATAGTCGTTTATTAAGCTAAAACAGGCGATTCCGTTGGGTTTGCGTTAGTGGTTGCGGTTTGATTTGGTTCGTTTTTGTTCTTTCTTTTTTCGTTTTTTTTTTTTTTTTTTCTTTGGGGTTGTATTTGTGTTTTTGGTTGGTTTTGCGTTTGGATTTGGTTTGTTTTCGTTTGCTTTTTCGGTTTTTTTTTGTGTGTTGTTATTGGTTGGTATTGGTGTTTGTGGTAATGGTTGGGTTTGTTGTTAGGTTTTTGTTTTCATTTGCTTTTTTGTTTGTTTTTTCTTTGTGTTTGTATTGGTGTTTGTGGTTGTGGTTGGGTTTGTTGTTAGGTTTTTGTTTTCGTTTGTATTTGTAATTGTGTTAGCGTTATGTTTGCGTTTTGTTGTTTTGGTTTTGGTTAGTTGTGGTTTGGGTGGGCAATGCCGGGTTTATGATGGTTACTAAACACACAGGTAATGGTCTTTAACAGAAAGGTTTTTAACAGAAGCCAGAGCAGAGCCTGGCCGGGACGGCTAGTAATAAGTATAAATAATAATAATGTAAATTTTTAAAGGGATCGTTGTCGTTGGTGACAAATGTTTGAAAATGTACATCTAAAATTAGTCTACACTTAATGGTTTAAAATGCAAAAATAATAAAACTAGTAGAAATAAAATTGAACATGCTCCTTTTTTTTAAATTTGGAAATTTCAAGCCTTTTGTAATTTTGTCAAAGCTTTGTAAACGTCATTCATCAAAGTATGTTCTATCTCCTTTAAAATGATAATCTATTGTTTATAATTTTATTCTGATGGGTCTTCCCCTTGTGTTGCAGCTGATTGATGAACTTTTGACCTATGATGCAACTACCAATGGAAGCTACCGCCATTTATGGAGGGTCAGTGACACTGAATATGAGTACACGTTTTTCCATGGCCAAGATTATGGTGTTGACCCCAACACAAGTTTTCTTGTCTAATATATAAAGCTCAATTCTGTATGTAAAAATAAATATGTTTGTCGTTGACATACTTCGATGGATTAAAGTGTTAGACTATTATCGTGCGCATTTGTCTAAATTTATGAGTTAAAAAATTACTATTGAAAGTGTTGGGAAATAATTTTCATTTATCACACTGAAAGTAATAATTTTCGGCATGTTCATTAAACACAAGTTTTAAAAAAATATCATCTTTTACAAAAATTCTAATTATGTCTTTATTTAGTCCTATAGCACTTACTTCCCTTTGATAAATTAGGAAAACAAAATTACTTCCCTTTATAAAACCATTACATTAGTGGAAAAGAATTTACTTTTTATTACTTTGTTTTGGTGTTGGGAAAAAAATAATTACATAATTAGTGGGGATTGATCAAGTGCAAATGTTGTAGGTATTTAACGAATAAGCTTGGAGTATTATAATTGTTCGTTTGTGCAAAAGACTATGAATAATTTGGGGTACTATAGTCGATTATTAAGCTGAAACAGGCGATTCTGCCCCGGGCTAGACTGTGAGCACCTTGCGTTTATGTTCGCGTTAGTGGTTGCGTTTTGATTTGGTTCGTTTTTGTTTTTTCTTTTTTCGTTTGTGTTTTTTTCTTTGGGTTTGTGTTTGTATTTGTGTTTGTGGTTGGTTTTGCGTTTGGATTTGGTTTGTTTTCGTTTGCTTTTTCGTTTGTGTTTTTTCTTTGGGTTTGTGTTTGTGGTTGGTTTTGCGTTTGGATTTGGTTTGTTTTCGTTTGCTTTTTTCTTTGTGTTCGAATGGTGTTTGTGGTTGTGGTTGGGTTTGTTGTTAGGTTTTTGTTTTCGTTTGCTTTTTTGTTTGTTTGTTTTTTGTGTTTGTATTGGTGTTTGTGGTTGGGTTTGTTGTTAGGTTTTTGTTTTCGTTTGTATTTGTAATTGTGTTAGCGTTATGTTTGCATTTTGTTGTTTTGGTTGGTTGTGGTTTGGATGGGCAATGCCGGGTTTATACTGATTACTAAACACACAGGTAATGGTCTTTAACAGAAAGGTTTTTCACAAGGTTTCTTTGAACAACAAAATGCACTTCCCTTTTGCATGGAAATGCACACCAGAGCACCAAGTTATATCCAAAGACTGGGCTAGACATTCTGTTCAATTGTTACTCTTTAAAAATGAGATAGGAAAGAGATTGTAAATACAATTTCTTGTCGAAGGTTGTTGATTTAAAAATCGTACGTTTTAATTTTGTTGTGGTGGCACACTAGTAGGTTAGTTGGCGTATCAAACTTTGATTTACCATACAAAGTAAATCAATTAATTCGCATCTTCCATGTGATACTAGTCTAGATCTAGACGATGGATCGACCTATCCAGACTAGATACAATAAAATGATTTTAATAATTGTTTCCTTGGGTAAGTTGGTATTGTGATATGCCGTAAGCTAACTACTAAACGTTTTTAAAAGTGTAGGCCCTATAAATGATTAATTGTTGTTTCTTCTAATCAAGAATGTCAAAAGTATTTGTGATTTTTCATAATGGTCGCTTATTTACGTGTTTTTTTTTCTAGAGAAAAATATTATTTTTTTAGGAATTCGTGTCAAGTTTTGTATTAGCGTGTTCAAACGTTTAACTTCCTAATGTTTTCATGTCAAGTTTGTATCACCGTGTTCAAAAGTTCCACTTCCTAATGTATTTGTGTCAAGTTTTGTATAAGCGTGTTCAAAAGTTCCACTTCCTAACGTATTTGTGTCAAGTTTTGTATAAGCGTGTTCAGTAGTTTAACTTGCTGATGTATTCATGTCAAGTTTTGTATTAGCGTGCTCAACAGGCAACATTCGATTGAACAAGTTTCGCATATAGTGTTTTTTTTTTAATTTAAAATTCTGTGCGAATTTTCTACTCTTTCCTAGCAATTGTTCTATAACTCTTATGGTTTTGGATTTTAAGTGTTTTAAGGAACTCTCTCTGTTAGTTTAACTCTTATTAGGGGGATTGTCCACAATATATTTGAACGTTAGACCACACCCCCCTCCCTCCCTGTTTTATTTTAAGTTTTTTTTTTTTATTTCAATCAGTAGGACATTGGCAAAAGTAAATAGATCTATATTTTCTATATAAAGTATATTTCGTTCGGGTGGCGGATGTGGGGGTTGGCGGTAAAAGTGATGCGGAAGATCTTCCCCCCCCCCCCCCCCCGAATGGAAAAGTTACCTGGAACAAACACTGATTTGTATACAGAATTGTTAAAAATTAATATGACCATTGTATCTGTTTTCTCTAACTGCTCGGTCACAACAGGGGTATAAATTTTATAACCAGTTACTCCAAGATTTAGTTACTGGCTGTGATGTTATGATAAAGACTAGCGCTGCCATTGATATTTATACATTAACTATGCAGATTCAGTGGAACGTCCCTGAGTCCACACTTATGGGTATCTAACTCACTTTAGTGAAATTAAGGCAATTGGGCTTTGACATATTTCGAGGTCAAGAAGCGTATGAACTCTTCTTCATCTGCCCAATAGTTCGCAAGGTCTAAAGAGGAACTCAGAGGCGTAGCGACCCTTCCCGGCGCCCGGGGACAAACTTTAGATTTGCACCCCCCCCCCCCCTCGAACTTTTCATTTGCACCCCCTCAAACTTTCGATTTGGCGCCCCCCCCCCTAAGGTCGGCGCCCGGGGACATATGTCCCCCGCCCCCTTCCCTCGTTACGCCTCTGGAGGAACTACCACTAGGACGGGATGAAGAGATCACACTTTTATGTATTAATATGAAGAGATATTGTGGTCAGCACTATGCCCAGTCGCTTTCCCAAACGTGAATTGAGTACCCATCAGAGCTGGGTTAACTCATGGACGTTCGACTCGGAATTGAACGCGTGGCTTTTGTTTTAGCAGTCTAGTTCTCTACCGCTAGAGCACGCCGTCCCATCAATTTATAAAGAGCACATTTATACTCTTCTCTGCCGTTATACAACATTGTATTACATTTCCCTACCATCTTCTCTTGCAGCTATTTCATGTGTTAATTCCATGAAAGTCACCGTAACCATGGATCCAGCACATAGTGTGATCAGAGGCACTGATGCCAGTTTCAATTGCAGTTGGGAGATGGACCAAACAGGAACCGTCTTATCCACTATAATAAGCATCGATTTCGGATTGGGTGAAAAGCCCGTATATATATATGTATTGACTACTGGGCATTTAAACGTGGTCACAGCGGGCCATCACAGTCGACTATCTGTGGCCGCAAGAACTGGTTCATATTTTACAATGGCCATACAGAATACACAGTGTATGGATGAAGCGACATATATCTGCAAGGTTTTATATTCAGAGTACACGTCGGGCCAAACTCATGATACAGTCAACTTTGTATCTCTATCCATTCAAGGTATTGATATTGTTGGGTCAATCCCCCCTCCCCGTTGGAAATTAACCCCCCCCCCCTCTCCTGCTGAAGATCCTAAACCCGAACCCGCCAAACCCAAATGTATCAGTAACTCCAATATCAATCCTAAACCCAATTCTAAAATTACATCTAAGCCTCAACTTAAAATTGACCATAAAACAAGCCCTAATCCTAATCCTGACCCAACTTAACACTAGACCTAATCCTGATTCTGACCCTGGCTTTGACACTGACCCTAACTTGGCGGGTGATCGCTGAGTGTAATTGCTCTGGGGGGGGGGGGGGGTGGCAGGAGTAATGTCGTGGGGGAAATATCCGCGGTTAATTGGCGGGGGGGGGGGGGGGTAATGTCCTGCTCCCGTTATAATTAGATTACTAATCTGTTTTGCTTTTACAAAATTACTGAATGAATTGTTGAACACACACACACACACACCTGCCAACTTTCGATCCATGACGACAGGCAGAAAATAGTAAGAAAGACAAAGGAGGCAAGTTAAATAATAGATTGTTATAAACGCTTGTAAAAAGACACTATGCCGACACGGGTTTCGAACCCACAACCGTGGCAAACTTCCCATTTGGTTATGATGTCTATAGGGTCGTCCATAAATGACGTCACACTCGTAGGGGGGGGGTGGGGGTGGGTCCGTAATTTTGGGACGGTGTGTAATGATGGGCGGTGGGGCGGGTCAGATGGTGTAACGTCACTTTTTGCATTATGAAAAAGCAATGTTAGAAAACGAGTTTTAGCCGTTACTTCGCGTTTTAGAAAACTGTTTTAATAAATTGTAAGAGGAATTGATCAAAATACTCTATGTTGACTGAGTTCTGACAAGGTTTTGGAAAAATATCGATGTTTTAAGGAATATTCAACAGCTATTTTGAAGGGGTGGGGTGTTGTAGGTTGAGGTGTGCCGTCATTTTAGGGGGGGGGGTCAGGCTTTTTGTGACGACGTGTGACAGGGGGGGGGGGGGAGTGGAAGGGGTAAAATCGTCCAAAAAGCGTGACGTGATTATGGATGACCCCAAATCCGTGAGCTGGACGTTTTCCCGAAAACCACTTTCAGAAAGCCTGAATGCAGTTTGTCCGAAGGCCGGGCGTTTGTTGGATTCGGGCAAGTGTCCGTTCGGGAATTTTTCGTAGACCCCTCAAATCCAAATGTATCAAAATGTTGTGTTTTGTGTTACTTGAAGCGTTCGGCGACTGACTAGCCTAAATCACTGACAGCAATCCATTTATTTGAAGGTATTGAGATTAAGCGATTCTAGCCGGAAAAAAAATACTCATGCGCAATGGAGAGAAACTACCGCCTTAATACGCGGCGATGTTTTCGGTGGAGTATTGGAGTATTCGTGTGTTTACAAATAAACCGCAGAACTCTAACCATAAAACTAACACTAACACTAACGCCGCTGTTAAGGTCACTGCGCATGCGCAGAACTATTGAGTTTCGTATTTTCTGCCGAAAAATCTTTTTTCCAAGTAGATCTAGGCCTAGGCACTTCGTAAAATTTAACTTTGAATATAACCCACCAGTTCCTCCCGAAACTCCGTCCCTAAGTACAGAGCGGGAATTCGTTGAAGGAGCTACAATCCAGGTCACGTGTCGTGTCGTTACGGGTCGTCCAGGTCAAGGGTCAGTACATTGGATGTATTACGACAACGGGGTCGATATAACGTCACTGGTTGAACCTCAAGTCTCCAGCATATTGTGTGAGTTACAAAAAAATTTCACTTTTAAAATTGTAGTCTGTCAGTTTTATTCTAATTGGTTATCATAATTCGGTTATATTTAATTATATATTTCACACATTATTTTTTAAATTTTATTCAAATTCTTAAAAATTCTACATCTTATTAGTAATACTTAAAGATTTCGTTCAACAAAATTAAGTGTTGCAGCCCACAAAATATATAACAACAGTGTATATATTCATAAAAAATAATGTTTCATAACATAATAACTCATGATATTGGGATATAAACCAGTTTTATAAATGTATTTGCCTTAAAATCAGCCGACTTGAACTTAGGGGTCATCCATAAATGACGTCACGTGTTTTTTGACGATGTTTACCCCCCCCCCCCCCCACCTCCCGTCCGTCACACATCGTCACAAAAAGCCAGCTCTTGTGTTCAAGAATTCTCGTATGTCGAGGAAGTCGTTTGTCGAGGTACAACTGGTTCACGCATCAATATTTTCTTTCGCCTTATTTCCCGCTGAACTGATTTCAGCCTACTTTTCTTTCTCGATTCACTTTCATGAGCTTTCAATAAGCAGCATTTGTTTACTATTGGAGTCTTCTCTCATTGATTGAATGCTCTCTCCAGTAAACGAACCTCACGTCACTTACCCGTGGTCCGAACTCGGGACTTTTAGAACTAGCAATCATAAGCTCACATGCTCAAACATGCCGTGGCCTTAACTAATGAAATGATGTTTGTGTATTTTTGTTTTGTCTAGTACAACCAAGCGATACGTGTACAGAATCCTGGGAAACTACGATAAGTCTAGTGGCCAACAGAACCTTCCAGAAGCTAAGCCTGGCCTGCTATGTAGTGAACGAACAATTCCCAGCAGGACAAGCTGGATGCTCCAGTGCTAACTTTTGTAGTCAGCTGGATATTTCGATACTGTGTCAGTAGTTATTTCCCCTGCTTCATGTTATTCTTCATTAATACGTAAATTGTTTTAAAATATTCATTTTCTTAATGAATAGATTAGGGGTGACTTCAGTTTAACTTGTCTATAATATCTTTTAATTAATTTATGCTACTTATCCATGTAATAGTTTGGACCAGATTACCTAACGAATGTGCTGTACGACTTCTCCTCTGTCCCATTTTTCATTGCTCTCCAATAAAGTGATACTTTTAACGACAGTTATAAAGTAATGTAAATAATGTAAATAATGAATCATTTGCAACATCCTTTATTCTCTTTTATGTGGTAATGATACATATTTTAAATTTTTTAAGGACGACTTTAGAAGCTTTTTTTTTAATTCAAGTAACAAGAACAGTATAGTCAAAGAAAAACCGAAATTAATATAGCCTGAGTTTTTTTCAATTTGCATAATCAAAGCTTTTTTAAATGTTAATTTATAAGTATAAGAACAACGAATCAATTATGGATGTTTTGTTATGTATTGCGTGGCTTATAGTTAGCTATGTTATTGTCCAAAAGTGTAAACATACATTTTTTGCAGGTTTTTCTCTTTTATAGATTTAACATCATCATCTTATCATTGTTTTCCGTTCGAGCCTTAGAAACGTGGGGAAAATGAAGTAGAGTCCATCTGTTTCAGAGACCTCGCATATGAAGAGATAGTGTGGTCAGCACTGTGCACATCCGCCTTTGCTTTCCTTAACGTGAGTCGGGTATCAGAACTCAGGGACATTCTACTGACTTTAACCAGGATTCAAACTTGAGACTTTTGGTTTAGCCGTCTAGCTCTCTACCTCTAGGCAAACCCTTTCCATACAACTTTAACATAAGAGTCGAATTTCTTTAATGTTGTAAGTTAAAACTATATATGAAATCGAAACAAATATGTAAATATAATGTTCGTAACATATTTCTAACAGGAAACTTTAAACTTGCAGATGGAGTGAGTAGCATTACAGCCAACAGTGTTCCCCATTTGGTAACTGATGAAGGCAGCACAGTGACGCTCTCGTGTTATGCTGACGGTAATCCTAAACCCAGCTACACCTGGACTAAAGCAGACGACGCCGACAGAAGGCTAAACGTCATTCAAGATGGCGACGGCTCTAAAGTTGTTCTGGCCAACTTAAATCTTCAACAGGATAATGGCACGTATAAGTAAGAACTGTGAGGTTTTTTTCCTCTCTGATGAAGGGGTCATCTATAAATGACGTCACGCTTTTTTGACGATTTTACATCCCCCTCCCCTCCGTCACACGTAGTCACAAAAAGCCAGACCCCCCCCCCTACAATGACGTCACAACTCTCTTTTGAAAATTTCAGTTGAATGTTTCTTAAAACATCGATATTTTTTTCCAAAATCTTGTCTGAACTCTGTCAACATAGAGTATTTTAATCATTTCCTATTAAAATTTATTAAAACAGTTTTCTAAAACGTGAAATAACGGCTAAAACTCGTTTTCTAACATTGCTTTTCTTATAATGCAAAAGTGTGACGTAACACCATCTAACCCCCCCCCCCCCCCTCACATAATCACACATCGTCACAAAATTAATGACCCTCCCCCTTACGATTGTGATGTATTTTATGGACGACCCAAAAAAAAGATATTGAAGCGCGGTCTATAAACATGTTTTTACTAGGCTGTCATTTATCACTGCAAGTTTATCATTAATGACTACTTTAAATCCTTCTCATGTTTCTTATTTTACCATCCAGCTCTCTTTTAATCCTTGTTAATCGATTTTTAGTTACCCTATTTTGGTACTCGCGTTCCTCTTACTTTCTTATTATTCCAATGATGTGCATTACGTTTTAACTGTACATGAATTTTATTCTTAACTCGTAGTTGTACAGCTACAAATGTTATACTTGGTGCCGTGAAATCAATGAGCAGTCTTGTAAATGTCGTAGTTGGTAAGTACAATAGTGTTTAGATTTTCTTTTTTATAAAAGGATGACTTCTATTAAGTTATATGCATCATTTAGGTACACCAATGCACGCATTATGCCGTCGGTTCACACAGTGGCAGGCTCTCTTGGTCAATGCCTGCAGAGCTTAAAATTGACAAAGTATTTCGTAATTGACCAGCTAATGCGCAAACTGGCCAGTATTCCCTGGGCAAAGTCTGAAAAAGCTTTTAAATTAAATGAATTTCGTACAATGCCATAGCCAATGTCACATTTAGTCTACGGTGTGATGTAGTTTTTATTATTCTTGCTGTAGAGTCGTTGTTAGTAATGTATTCCCCAGCTCCTGTTTATCAAAGGGTCGTGGTGATAATGCGCCTTCGACATTACCTCTTTGTCACTTACAACTTACTTAAAATAACTATGTATCGGGTACGTAAGAGAGAGAAAGTTAAATGTGTGTGTCTGTGTGTGTGTGTATTTTTAAACAAAAGGGTAGATATACCAAGATATACCAAGATTATAACAAGACTTAGCCCCGTTAATGTGAGGCCATACTGGCCAGTAGGGTTTTGGCCACAACATAGATATGTCATATATACAAACATATATATATATATATATATATATATATATATATATATATATATATATATATATATTCTAGTGGTTAATAATGTGTAGTTTTTTAACGTTACCTTTTCAGGCGCTATATGCAAAACACCACCTCGGGTTTTAAACGGCAAATGGGGACATTGTCGCTATGAGTTCAACAATTCGTGTACTCTACAGTGTGACAGAGGGTTCAAACTTGTACGAAATCAATATATAGTGTGTGATATAAAAGGACAATGGTCATCGCCTGGGAGTTGTGAAGGTACGTAATCAATGGTTGTAAAAGTAAACAAATATTAATATTTTGCTAAATTATAATAATGTTTAAAATATTGCTCTTTAGATGTCCATATGTTCTGTAACCTCGGCCTATGAAGAGATAGTATAGTCAGCACTACGTCCAGCCGTTTTCACTTTCCCTAACGTGAATTAGTACACTCAGTGATGTTCTACTGGCTTGAATCCGGGTTCGAACTCGATACTTTCAGTATGGAGATGGAGGTCAGACGCCATTGTGAGGCTTGTTTGAGGTGTCAGCATGCAAAAATGCCAGTTGTCAAAATGAGACAACCATCAGGACACCTACTGGCGACAAAACCTCTAGAGATTGTGGCTATGGACTTTACGTCGTTGGAGCAATCATCGGATGGGACGGAACATGTGTTGGTAATGACTGATGTATTCACCAAATGGACTGTCGCGGTGCCCACATGAGACCAGACGGCCAAAACAGTGGCAAAGGTGTTAATAGAACACTGGTTCACCAAATATGGTATACCAATACAATTACACTCTGACCAAGGAAGGGTTTTTGAGTCAGAAGTAATCAACCAACTGTGCAGCCACTATGGGATCACCAAATCTAGGACAACCGCATGTAATCATAAAGCAAATGGACAGTGTGAGTGGTTTAACCGCAGCATGCATGATTTGCTGCGTACTCTACAACCTGAACAGAAAAAACTTTGGCCTGATTTTCTCCCAGAGTTGGTATACCTATACAACTGCACCCCACATACCACGACCGGCTTTTCGCCAAATATGTTATTGTTCGGTCGGGAGGCTCGACTCCCTCTTGACTTATTCCTAGGTAAAAAGAAAAACATGACTGGCTCATACACAGCACTGGAATATGTAAATGAACATATGAAACGGATTAGAGAGATGTACATGGTGGTACAAGAAAGACTAGAACACGAAACACGGCGAAGAAAACCGCTGGTACAGACAAAAGACCCACCGCTTCAACTGAACGACAGTCTTACTTCGTAGCCACCCTATAGGCAGGAACAAAATCCACGACTTCTGGGGACAGGAGGTATGGCAAGTCATAAAGATGCCTAAAGTAGCCGGTGGCCCCTTTAAAGTAAGAGCCACCAATCACACCAAACCTGACCGGTGGGTGAATATTACTCAATTAAAGAAATATCGGCATAGTCAAGAAGAGCAATCCCGGAACTATGTCACCATCAACAGGACGACAGCGATACACAAGTGGAGGATAACTACAACAATGAGGATCTCGGTCCTCCCAGAAGTAGAGAAACAGTAGAATATCAAATGATTGGTCCGCGGAGAAGTTTGAGGAACAGAAAGAGTACGAAATGTTTCGACAGCAACCAGCAATTCTTTCATGGTCGCGTTGGTATGAGAACAAACTGACCAAGAACTATAGAAGTAAACTGGTGAGGACACCAACTGAAAAAAACGGCGGGGGTGGATGTGAAATCTAGAACTGTTGTGAAAAGGCAATCACGGGGGCCAAGTACAAGACAAGATTTAGTTAATTAATTAGTTAAGTTAATGTGAACTTTGCTTTATGTTTCAGTGTTAATGTAAGATTGTTTGGAACTTAGCTATGATTGTTAGGTGATGTTTTAGAATGTTTAGAAATTGAAAAATAGGTAGGTTGTGTTGTTGTGTCTCAGGAATATGATGTAGACACATTTGGTATTTTGAAATAGGGATAACTGTCAATCTTGTATGAATGTGACGACTTTGACAGTAAGTAGAACAGAACTTTTTTTATGGTGTTGCATTTGACATTGGTGGAGTGGACCTGCCAAACATTGTTTGTGTTTGAGAGATACAAAAAAAAACGGCGGGGGTGGATGTAACTAGTGTATTTACAAAAACAACCTATTTGGTTGTCATAGAGGTCAAGGTCAAGACTGAACTAAGTTAGAGTTATTAATAGAAACGACGCAATAGTTGGTATCGAAATAGAATGGTTTGACATTGTTGACAACACCGGATGCACATCTGCGTGTGACTGGGTGTGTATTTAAGAGCGAGACTTGTGGGTATGAGAGAGATAGAGCAGACAGGTTGTAGAGCAAGACGGATGTATGCAGAAACGTAGAGATAGAAGATGTGAGCTGAGAGACAGAAGAAGTTAGATACAAGTGTTAGTAGATTGAGGTACGGAGTGATACAGTGTGTGGGCCTGTGACAGTGGAGGTCTATTGAGATTCACCTAATTATCTGAACTGTGATTATTCATGAAGAAATAAAGCGAAGTAATAATGAACCTGCGAGGAGAGTGTGCTTCTTTATATCAGGCGGGTGCCGTGAGTAAGGGGTCGCAAAAGAGCTAACAAAGAACGTCACACATGCTGTTGGCCGCTACAACTACCACTCTGGTTACATATATATATATATATATATATATATATATATATATATATATATATATATATATATATATATATATATATATATATATATATATATATATATATATATATATATATATATATATGTATATACATATATATATATATACATATACATATATATATATATATATATATATATATATATATATATATATATATATATATATATATATATATATATTTATTTATTTATTTATTTATTTCTATGTACATAGGCCTATATATATTCTAGTGGTCTACGGGGTTAATAATGTGTAGTTTTTTAACGCAACCTTTTTCAGGCGCTAAATGCAAAACACCACCTCGGGTTTTAAACGGCAAATGGGGACATTGTCGCTATGAGTTCAACAATTCGTGTACTCTACAGTGTGACAGAGGGTTCAAACTTGTACGAAATCAATATATAGTGTGTGATATAAAAGGACAATGGTCATCGCCTGGGAGTTGTGAAGGTACGTAATCGATGGTTGTAAAAATAAACAAACATTAATATTTTACTAAATTATAATAATTTTTAAAATATAGTTCTTTAGATGCCCATATGTTCTGTAACCTCGGCCTAGGAAGAGATAGTATAGTCCGCACTACGACCAGCCGTTTTCACTTTCCCTAACGTGAATTAGTACACTCAGAGATGATCTACTGGCTTGAATCCTGGTTCGAACTCGATACTTTCAGATTAGCAGTATAGAGCTTTAGCGCTGGAGGCCTCCGTCCCAGTTATTGTATAATACTTAATTTTAATTGGTTTGATCTTTTTTTCAACTTTTAGATGCTACAGATGAAGGGGTGTGTTTGGAGGGTTGGTATGGTCCAAATTGTCTGTACAGTAAGTAAAATATAACTTACTAATTGTAACTATTACATCATAAAGTTTTAATAGCTGGTTAAAATGTATGGGTAGGCTTTAAATATGTAGGCCTATATATATATATATATATATATATATATATATAT